CTTGCTTCTGGATTGTAGCTAGGAGAGGAGGTCTTAGGATTGGCAGGAGGGTTGATTACTGCAATCAGGTTCATCTTCACCATATGCTGCAATGCTTGTGACCAAGGCATGTTAATGTTGGTGAATTGCCTTTTAGGCCCTTCCGGCCTTTGCTGGTTTCCCCTTTGTGGTTGACGGCGTGGTGCAGAACCAGAGATCATGACTGCCCCTGCATGTTGATCACGGCGACTCTTTTGACTGTATACAGCATTGGATTCCTTCTTTCCCGTGTAAGGTTTTTTATGAATATCAGAAGGTGTGGCCTCTTGAATCTTCCCCGACTTGATACCAGCTTCAATTCTTTCGCCAGTCAGGATGAGGTCGGTAAATCCAGCAGATGAGTTACCAATGAGGTGATTGAAGAATGGCCCGGATAGGGTCCCCAAAAACATATCTACCAGCTCCCGATCCGTCAATGGTGGCTGCACCCTGCCAGCCAGGTCTCTCCATTTCTGGGCGTACTCTTTAAAACCTTCACCCGACCCTAGCGACATACCCTGGAGCTGGGTACGCGTAGGAGCAAGGTCGGCATTATACTGATACTGCTTGTAAAAAGCAGTGGCCAGATCCTCCCAGTTACGAATGCTGATTCCATCCAGCTGATAGAACCAATCGAGGTGAGTCCCTGAAAGACTCTCCTGGAAGAAGTGGATCCAAAGGTTTTTGTCTGCTGTGTAAGGCTGGATCTTCCTTACATAAGAACGGAGATGCATCTTGGGACAGGAAGCCCCATCATACTTCACGAAGGCCGGTGTTTTGAACTTGTGGGGGATCACCACCCCAGTAGATAACCCTAAGTCTCCGAAATCCAATCCAGGCACCTGCTGAACTTCCATAGCCTTTAATCTGTCTTCCAGCTGTTTGTACCGGTCTTCAGCAGGAGGGTACTGTTCGTCGTTGAAGTCTGTTTCAGTGTCAGAGCCCACAGGAGTAGTGACTTCCCTTTCTTGGTGACTACCTTCCGTCACAGATGGAGGAGTCCTTTCAGCTTCAACCAAAGTGTTCCCGAGTCTGCGCCCAGTGTTAAATAGCACAGTCCTCCTCTTCTTCTTAGTCTTCTTCAGAAGCATGGTCTTCAACTCTTGTTGACCCTGAGCCAAGCCCTTGATCAGCTCCTGAAATTGGGCGTTTTGCGCCTGAAACTGGACGTTCTGCGCCTGAAGAGCCTTGATAGCCGCATCGGTTGATGATTCAGGAGGGTTCATGATGCTGAAATAAACAGCGAAGAACGGTAAACAACCTGAAAAGAAGAGTATTTATGATGCACATGATGAATGATATGTGTTTATGCAATGCATTCAAGAGTTCGAAAATTCAAATTTGTTGCAGACCAAAAGGAACACACTTTATTATTAAGAAAATCATTGTTTTAATACATCAAAGCCTCATGGGCAAAAGTACAAAAAGATCAAATCACATCCAAAATATGTTGCGCATCTTCTTTGGAGCTATGTAAGTGTTGAGACTCCTTTCCTCGTGCAACAGGCGGGTGAGCTCCAAGACCTTCTTTTCACTGGCATGCAAACTAGTCTCAAGAGAATTCCGCTCTTCCTTAAGCTGGATCCAACTCTTCTGCATCTCTTCCCAGGATGTGGGCATATCAGGGTGCTGAATAACATGAGACACCTCTCCTTCCAAGGCAGGCTCTTTGATTACTGGAAGCATGTGAGGATAAGGCATCACTAACTTCTGAGAACGGGCTCGTACCCACTTGAGGTAAGGCTCCAAAGGGATGGAGTTCCTGTGCCCCAGTGTCTTGCTGTCTATCCTACTAGGCATCCTCCAAGCTCTGATAAATCTCTGGCGAAGTCCTTGAGTATCGTTGTCGAAGTCAAAAACTATGTCAGGAATCAACATGTCATGAGGACCATCCCTCCGAGCATAACCAAATTGTCTCCAAGCCAGGCATGGACTATAAGTAATACCCCCTCTGATTCCAAGCAAAGGAACATTAGGATACTCTCCGCAACGATCAATGATAGTGACATCTTCTCTGGACCTAGGGCACCAATGTATATCTGCATGTGTAAGAGTCATCAACCGTTGTGACCATCTCAAACCCCGCTCGTTCTTCAGGACTGATTGTGGAAGGTGCGAAATAAACCACTTTCCCAGGAGAGGAGTGCAACACATAAGGACACCTCTTTTTCTCATGGTTCGAGTGTAACATGAGTGAAGGAGGTCCCCCAGCAATGTAGGTATAGGATTCCTGGACATAAAGATCTGGACAGCACTGATATCAATGAGCTGATCTGGGTTAGGGAACAACACCAAACCATAAACAAGGAGGGCCACAACCTCTTCAAAAGCTTGCAAGTCAAGGGAGTTCCAACAGTCATAGGCCTTTTCAAACAGAAACCTGGCTAAGAACCCTTTGATACCACTTCTAACTTCCCAATGTCCCTTGAGGTCAGATAACTGTAGGTGCAAGGCTTTAGCAATCTCTTCAAGCTTAGGTTCCTTTTCTGTACCGTTGAAGGGTAGCTGATCAAGGATAGGGATCTTCAGGAGTCGGGAGAACTCCTCCAATGTAGGTACCAACTGATAGTCCAAGAAGGTGAAACAGTGATGCAGAGGGTCAAAGAATTGGAACAGGACTTTTATCATATCTTCCTCAATGTTGGTGTTGACCAAGCTGATGAGGCTTCCATGCCTTTCACTGAATGAAGAGTTCTCGGGAATCCTGGATATAAGCTCCTTAAGCTGAGGAGGGATCCTTACAAGACTGATTGGAATTGTCTTTCTACGAACAGTTTCCATGTCCTACAAAATAAGAACAAAGATGAAAATTCGAACCCCTGAAATGGTTAGTCAATGCATATGATGCTGGATGATGTCATGATGCCATGATTAAACACAGATATTTACAAAGACAAACATGTAAGGCACACAAGGCACACAAGACAGGCCCTTAAGGTTTAAGGCCAGCATGGGGTCTGGGTAGTACCCTCTTGAAGTTGGTGGGTTCAACCTGTCATAATCAAAGTAACCGGGTTCTAAGGTTCCCAATATCACGGGATTGCTTTCATTGTTCATCGTTTCGATTTAGCCACTGAACTGGCGACCGAAATATTCCAGGAAAGCAACCCTCAATTGAGTGTAGTATCGAGTATCAACCAACCTCGGACTGCACCAAAGTCAGTTATCTCACTACCCTAAAGAGGCCAAGATTGTTCAATTAAGGTTCCTAAGGTCTGTTGATGCTTCATGACACCACATGGAGGCCCCGTACTCTCCTTGACTGACTCAAGGGTTACCGGTACACACCAAAATGCCACATCAACGTAGCAGACTGTTTCAACCATGTCGGTATACCCCGCACAGTTCCCTCACAGCCTTGTTGCTACTTTCTAAGAAGGTATTCCCCATATCCGGGTTAGGATCTATAGAACTCCCAAGCAACCCACAATTTTAAAGCATACAAGGAAAGCAATTGAAAACACAATGATCTTAGTCCTAAGGTACACCTCACTTTAAGTTTGTCCCCAGCAGAGTCGCCAGAAACCATCAAAGCTTACTTTGAATTTAATTGAAAAGTAATAAAAATTAAAAGCAGTATAAGGTTCACCAAACAAAATTCAATAAAACTCATAACTTCATACCAAATTCCATATAGCATAGAGAAATGTAGAACAAAAAATAAACTCTAACCGTAAAGGCTCTCTAGTTGAAAGAGTATCCATGAGATTGCTTCAACAACACACGAGGATATGAACATGAAATTCTAAGATAGAAGATTATACTAAAACTCACAAAAGTGGTGTCCAGTTCCTGTTTTGCTCATTTTTTGCAATTTCTCACATTATCGTTCTAATTTGTCTTTGATTCTTCATTACAGTTGAGGTTCTAGATGTTAGTTTTCCTATGACACTTTTCTCTTCCATTTTGGAAGGCTACAACTCTAGATATTGCCAAAATACTAAGCAAAAGTCACAGTGTTGGAACAACATCCAATTTTCAACTTGTAGTAGAAATTTCAACGTTGTCGAGATTGATTCAGGTTTTATAATAAGTTGTAGGTCTTTCTTCTCGCTTTCCAGTAAGACCTAGAGCATCTAGTTTGGGTGAGCGTTGCTTGAGATATGTTTCTGAAATACTTATACACCAGTGCTAAGAACCTTGATAATATTTAGTTTAATATGAGACTTTGATTCTTCTCCTTCTTTAAACTTTATGCTCAAGTCAAAACACCTATTTATCTTTGCAATATGTCTTTTTTTTTTTGCATTAATATATCAAATGCTAGGATGCATGGGTACGGTACAGAGTATAAAAGAGTTTAGCATGAGAATTAAATTGTTTATTGTTTAATTACAACAAAAACATGTGTGTTTGGTTATACCAACATAAAACTCAAATACACAATAATATTATATTTATTATATTAAATATTAATATATATGAAAAAATCACATATTTCACTAGCAACAAAATGATGTACTTGACAAGTATTTTATGCGTATCGATACAGGGTGTGTACCCAGTATGGGTACTTCCTTGTTTTACAAGTATCCATGCTTCAGACCACAAATGAATGCAACCATGTTTCCCAATGAAAAGGAAAAATGATGGTTTATCGTGAATTAATTGGTCTGCAGTTATGGCTAAGATGTGAGTTTAAATTTGATCAAAAGATATAACTCAAATGCTCAAGTGAGAATTTAGGATAGAGAAGTTGGGGTAATAATTTGCATCAACAGATTCAAGGACACTCGAGTTTATGCTTTTAAATCTAGTAATTAATTATATTGATATTGATATAAATGGACGAGGTGCTAATTTTAACTTCGGCGGTAGCATAATGAATTGATTTTCTTTTTGTATAATTCTATCCATATTCTCTATTTGGTGTTTGTTGACCATCAAAATCACTTCAATTTAAATATACTCATCCATGCAGGTGCAATGGCATTTTGCTTGGCCTCTTGATTTCATGTTACTTCAAGATTTTTCTTATAGCAATGATGGTAATGTCTGCAGCAATGTAGAAGTCTGAGTTGAGTTGGTTCATACACTAACATTTATTCTTGATAAAAAAAGTTGCTTCTTTCACTTTTATTGTTGAGTATTTTCTGTGTCTATCTATGATGTGCTGTTAAATGAACAACAACTTTTTAATGTTCCCAGTATCTTTCTTGTAGGTCTGGGAATTTCCATCTTCTGTTATGTTCATCATTGAATTATTTTGCTTATCATCTAATGCAGTAGCATTGAAAGGTTAGTAAGTTATCCTTTAATTTTTGTATATTCACCCCCTGCTTTCGTACAAGCCAATTGTCTAGGCACATTTTTGCATTCTGGTTGAAAGTTTTGTCTAGGATTGGTGGTTGTAATTTAATTATTGTTCAATACTGATGAACATTTCTTATCAACTAGTGATGACGGAGTCAAGTATGAGTCAATGTGTATGGACCTGCTTCAGTGCATATGCTATCAAGTTTTTTTTCATCCAGGCACATGAACTTATGTTGTTATGGAAATTTATGCAAGGTTGGAATCAAATCCCATTCACATTGTCTTTAAAGTCGACATTTATTTAATTTTAGTTTGTTTCTTTTAGTAGCAGAATTGTACGGCAAATGAATATTGTGTTAGTGAACGGTATCATTCACTCTTTTTCTTAAATTTGTATTAATTTTTATTAGCTGGTTCCTTATTTAATGTTTATGATGTGTATGCTGCGAGCATGAGAATGCTTTAAGGTGAACCATCATAGATTTGGATGATTGAGATTCATAACTTACCCAGATCAATGTTGATTACCATTATATATATTTTTGCACATCCATATCCAAATTAAAAACTAGATTAGTATTTCTTTTTAAAATAAAAGAATTCTTAAATAATTTTTTTAAATTTCTCTCGCACTGATCACCATCATTATTTTATTTCACTCTTTATCACTTTCTCTATTTTCTGTACTCTACTTCTTCAAATTTTGTTTAGCTTTTTTTAATGTTGCTGCTAAATTTATTCTTGTTTTTAGTATTGTGATTTTCTTAGATCTAAAGCCACAAATGTAGTGTTTATTTAAATATAATTTTCCTTAGTTCATATAATAGAGAATGAAAGATATTGTACTATCTAGTACTGTTTTTGCATTGTAGTGAAATCAATTTCTCCCAACAGGAAACATAGTTGTTTAAAACTGCTACACACATACACTAAAATATATAAAATCATTCTGAATGCATTATTATTGTTCTCAACAAATTAAAAAGCATGCATAGCCTCCTTTATTTGTGACCTCAGCTTCCACTCTTTCATGTACATACGTATGATCTTGGATTTTGTGCGATAAGATAGATTGTATAACAAATAAAAAGAGAATGAGTATAAAAATCAAAGGTGAATATAGAAATTGATCAAATCAATATTTAAAAATTGAATTTTTGTATTCAAAATTGATTATTTAACCAAAAATCAGTTGAAAAAGAATTAATATCCAATTCTAAAAACTAAATTTGTATGTCTAAAACTGGTTTCACATTAAAAATTGGTTATAAACTTTAAAACCGGTTAAGAAATCTGTAACTGATTATAAAATTTGATTATGGATATAGTTTGTAAGAATATAACAATTGGTTATGATAAATAGTTATAGATTAGATATGGATTGGTTATTATAAATAATCTATAAAAGGGTTGTTATTGGCAGAGTTGCATGTAGTTGTTGATTTCTAGATAGAAATGTATTTGAACCCAAACTATAAAAGGGTTGTTATTGGCAGAGTTGCATGTAGTTGTTGATCTGTAGATAGAAATGTATTTGAAATAAAGTTAAATATAGTCTTGACTTGACTTAATTTCATAGGACATGCTATGGCCTAACAAGATTGCATAAATAAAGTTAAATTAAGTCATATACTCTTGAGTAGGTTTGACTTCATAGGACATGATGGCCTAACAACACAAGATTGCATCAATTTCTTAGTTTTTTGTTTTCTTCTTTGAAGTTGTTGGGGGTACTTCAATTAAAAATGCTAGTTGAATTAGATGGATGCAAGCTATTGATCTAGGGTTCAATTCTTGACAACAAAATTTCTTTGTATTTTTTTCACTTGTAAATAAGTTGTTGATATTTATAAATCAATAATTTAAAAAATATTCTTCCAACTTTTTTATAAAGATGTAGATGTGGTTTCACCGAACTAGGTTATTAATTTTTTGTGTTATTTATCGTTTTTCAGCTTCATCAACTTATACAACTTATTCTATTATAATTGTGTTGGTTTTGATTTATCTTGTCGAACATATTGTCGGAGCATCATGTTTGACATATGTCCTCTGAGAAATAAAATTTTAAAAAAAATCTTCCTAAAGAGATATATGATGTCTTTCTGAGAGACTCTAGGTTACACCGGGGGTGTTACCCCTTTTGGTGTAATGACAAAGAAATAACTAATGTGGTCCATATAACACACTTGTTTATGGAAGCTGGATCATAACAGCAGGATAAGAAATATATTTTTGATAAGTAAGATAAAAATATATCTTGTTTTGAGTACTGTTCTATGACCCCTTATATAACATATATGTGAAAAGATTGCAACAAATAAAAAAGTCATCAGGACAATCCACTATTCCTTTGTCGTTACCAATATGGTGGCCCAGGGTGTGCCTATTCTAGCACAGGTGGAAGTTTAAGATTCATCTGACCGTGTCGTGGTGGAAGATGCTTCAAAAACCTCACAGCCTAACGATGAAAGAGACTTGGGGCATAGTCTCGATCTTGAGGAACTTTGAGTAGACATACTGTTTATTAAGCCTCATTGGTTGAGGTCTATTGAGGAACATGTGTCGGCTCCAACTGAGTTATCTTTTGCACTTCTAGTTTGCCCTAGTCCAAGAACGCATATGAATTTCTATTTTTCCATTTTTAAAGAAGATTATTCTTATTTTTCAAACAAGTCTAAAGAATCTCACTATGAAGAGTTATAAGATTTTGACGTACTACATCTGTCGGGCATTATTGTTATGTCCTTTGGAGCTGTCGAGCAATAATAAGTCTTCCTTCTTAACTTTTTTAGAAGGAGAAAGAGACACTTAAGAAATGTTATAATATCCTTACCATCGAGCAAAATCATTGTTAGGAGAGGCTCGAGAAGTGTTTACCTCATTTTTAGGCGTATAAGTTATCGTTGAGTCTTTCAGATCTCTCAACACTAGTTGAGAAGATGATGTTGTTTGCTCATGAAGTGATAGAGAAGAATGATGTCTTAGTTTTCACTTGAGAATCGTTATCTAGGGCAGATGTTGCTCTATATGAAGCAAATAGGTCCCTTGAGTTTGCGCGAAAAAAGATATAAGAGCTTGTGATGTCTTTAAATGAGTCTTAAGAAGGTCGAAAAAAGGCTGAAGATGGTCTTTATGAGATGCGTCTTAAGAATCTTGCCTTGTCGAAAGAGTAAGTGAAGTCATTGGAAGAGAGTTATTTTATTACGCAAGACTCTTTTGAAAGTGCTTTACACTAGGTTGGATATTTTTATCCCACTAGGCCTATCTCTCGAGCGCGAGTCTTTCTTGACCAAGAGATGGAAGACTAGAAGCTAGTTCCATTGATGGATTATCCATATACACGTTTGTATTTTTTTCTATGGAGTGTATCTGCCCGATATATATGTATCCAATGAATGATTAATCTTTATGGTTCCTACCTGACATTGTATATTTCTGTCTTTGTTACTTACTGTTGATTTAACCTATTTATGTGGTATTGCTTTCAGTCCTAAGTTCATTTCTACTATATTTTAAGATCGTGCTCAAAGTTTTGTTAGATGTCTCAGGTGTTCGTGCCTAACCAAGAGTCGATACCTCTTACATGCCCCCAGGTGAAAACTTGATTCGAGGTCTGCGTATTGTGGACTGCCTCTTAAGTGGTTAGGTGCCAAAAAAGAGTGAGCCTACATTTATCACTTGGTTCAATACATTGACATTGTAAGGGGATTGTTTTAGTCAAATGTCGGGGGTATTTGTGACATCACCCCCGAGTCTTTTGTGATGAAGCTTTAACTGCTTTGACCGTACGCTTATGATCTTTGTAATAGTGTCCCTGACTCGTCGTTGCCTTTAAATTCACAAGGAAAAGAGAATTTAGTGGAAACTTATTTATTTATTTAAAGAATAACATCGTACATCGTACAAATATATTATTTTATGCCACTCCATTTTAGTAGGGGTGTTCAAATTCAAACTGATCGTAAACTATTTAAAAAAAATATAAAAACCGCAAAAAATAAATATTATTGAATGTGTTTGGATGTCATTTTGTAAAAACCGTTCGGATCAGATGAAATTTTAAATTGATATTTTAAAATCGATTCAAACCGAATCGAACTACATGTATATATTTTAATGCTTATTTTTTTAAAGTATAAACTAGAGTATCCTATGCGCGTTACTACAAAGACTAATCTCTTGAGTCTTATGAGACTATATAGACGATCTAACTTTCTCTCAAAAGATTTAACATTCTAAGAACATAACAACATAACAAATAGTCATTTAAATCGGATTAAATTCAAAATACGAATCGGAAATAAATTTATCTTATTTTTATATCTATTGATTTTTTATTTTATTAAAACCTATGTAGACCGCATCACGAATCCTTACATAGAAGTAGTCATTTACATCCGCACAAGGTAGAAAATCTTCTTTCGTTTTTTCTCTACATTTGGTACACTTCAAACTGCCACTTCACGATTTTCTGAACTCTTCATCAGTACTCAATAGTACATTTCATTTTACACGTTCTCCAAACTGCCACAAAAGACAAAGAAACCCTACAATCATCTCTCACTCTTCCCTACTAATCGCGCCGCTCAAAAACACCGCCGTAGAGGACCTAACACCGCCTCGTACCGCTCTCCGTCGCTTACTCGATCTCTTCTGTCCCCGGTCAGTTCTCTTCATTATCTCTCTTCTCGCTAGTCTTGACATTTAGATCCTAATGTTTTTCTTTCAATCTATGAACTTGATATGCAGTTTAGCTACTGTATAGTTGTGTTAGTGGCTTATGAGGTTATCAATTTTGTTGTTCTACATCAAATTCGAGTTCCTTCTCTCTGTCATAAACCCTAGTTTTAGAAATTTTGGTGAACCTTGAAATTGATTATTACAAATATATTCAGCCGCACCGGTTCTCCTTAACGATCATCACAATTTATAATCATCGGGTATTAAACTTCAATAATCATTTTCGTTTTCTACTCTGTTTTATGTTCGTGTCTTTTACCTGTTTGATGAAATGCACAGCTGAAACAAAACTTAATTTTTCCTATCTTTCAACTCACTAGTTAATATTATAATAGTAATAGTAATACTAATACTAATACCTGTTGTTTGGGAAGGTTTGAATGGCGAGTAACGACGATGCTGTGAAAGAGGCGCGGATAGTAGATGCGCGGGCACAAAACATTAGTCACAATGTGAGATGTACCGAATGTGGGAGTCAATCCATTGAAGATTCTCAAGCCGACATTGCCATTCTTCTTCGAAAGGTACATCCATTCTCACTTTCTCAATCTCCCCCAACGCATTTATCATAAGAGTATATAAACTAAAGTGAGTCTCCATAAGTGAAAAATTGTTCGTCCAAGCGATCAGGTGTAAACATGGTAGAAAAAGTAAGAGTATGAAAACTTGCACATTGCCACCAATCATCATCCACTGATGTCACTCTAGCACACTTGAAAATCGATATGCACGTACATGACCAGACAATCACTCTTTAAAACTTGCATCTGCACACCATAGCCACATGGAGGAATCTGACATAAAACACTTTAAATTATATAGGGTGGAGAATGAGATGTAAGTTGAAGTGCACTGCATTGAAACTTAAATCACATTTTCATGTTTTGGGTTAGTTGACTAGTCCATCATGTGAAGCCGGCCATACTGCCAGTTTTTACCTGTTTCAGTTTTCTCCCTGGTTTTAGTGCAGGGTGGTTTTCATTACTGAATGGAGCGTATACAGGTCTGGTTCCCGGTTGAACCGCTGATCGGACCGGGTTTTGAATTCCTTGTTTGAATTTGAATGTGAGTTTTTTTTTTGCTTTTATGTAAATTCTAAACACTCAAACAATTTTCCAGTTAATCCGGGATGAAATTCGTACTGGAAAAAGTGACAAGGAAATCTACAAAAAGCTTGAAGATGAATTTGGAGAGACTATACTCTATGCACCAAAGTTTGATATGCAGACAGCAGCTTTGTGGTTATCACCGGTAAATTTTTCCTGGAGGATTGAAAGCACTAGAACATGTAATTTTTTTTGACAGTGCAGTTTATATTTGTACTGATTTTGATCACATATGCTTTTGAATAGCTCTTAGTTGCGGGTGCAGCTGCTGGAGCATGGGCTTACCAGAAGCATAAACAAAAGACTAATGTTCATATTATGGCTCTGAACCTTGTTAGAGGCGTTCCATTGACCCCAAGAGAGAAGGAAACAATGCTTGATATTCTCACTCCTCCTGCCTCACAGGGATTTAAATCGCAGGAAGTTAAGACTTCCTTCTGGTGGAGGAGACTGAGTGGTCAATGATCTCATTGACCATTCTGATCGTGGGTTTAACCTTTTAGGCAACTCTGCCAATTTAGTTTGTGACTTTGATGTTAATCCATACATTTTCAATCCTAGTATTTTAAATTTATGTGTCAATATGTATACACGATAAGAACGACTTCATTTTGTAATCATACTAATTTCACAGCATAATTTTCATGCTAATCCTTAAACTCTATTCCGGACTTGATATCCAGGTTTTCTTGTATTGTGATTCTGTCTTTTGACATTATATTTAACTTTAAGCAAGCAACAATAATCTTTCACTCAAGTGATTGATTAACCTTCACACCACTCTTCACTCAAGTGATACACACACAAGATTTGAAAGATTCAAGCTTGTTCCTCACACTTTAGAATTGAAAAGAAGAAAAGATAAATATTGGAATAACAAGAGGGATGAGGAAGAAGAAGAGAGTTTATTATTGTGGTATTGTTCAACTACAATGAGGGGTGGTATTTATACACATTAGTCAACCAAATCAAGTCTTAAAAACAAACGTTCTAAGACTGTTTGGTTTAAAACTGTCTGATATACCCCAAAACTGATATACCTGCTCGGGTCTATGGTATACCCCCGAGTATATTCTTAAAGCACTCTGTCTATAACTAAAATTGATAGACCCCGCCTGGATCTATGCTTACTAGCCAAGCAGTTTTCTAACTAACTTTCAAAATAGAATTCCTGTTGTTTATGGTGTTTGAAAAGAAAATTGTCACGAAGGAAGTTATCGGCTGAGTCGTGGAACAATACGATTTCTTTAAGACGTTTCGTGGTACTGTCAAAATTATGCAAAACAACTACTCGTAATATCTAAAAGAATTTCAGTCGTTGATGGCACACAAGACCACTAAAAAAACAAAGATGAAAGAATTTGTATTGAGATAAAGAGAACCGAGAGGGAGAAGAGAGATTCCAAAAATTTTAGAAATCTAACGTACATTTCCAATTAACTTAGGAATCAAATTAATAGGTAAATGATTCAACTAAGTGGAGAGAAAATAGTGAGAGAGTGGAGAAAATAGTGGGAGAGTGGAGAAAATGGTGGGAGGGAGTTACTTAATCAAAACTAGGTTTTGATGTATGACTCAAAATTATGCAAAACAACTCTTAATAACCATGACGCCTCCAAGATAAAACAACTCGTTCACAAAAGGATTACGATTATCACTTGCACTGTGATGAATCGTTCAAAGAAATACACCATCAGATGGTGTTTAACTACTCGTAATATCTAAAAGAATTTCAGTCGTTGATGGCACACAAGACCACTAAAAAAAACAAAGATGAAAGAATTTGTATTGAGATAAAGAGAACCGAGAGGGAGAAGAGAGATTCCAAAAATTTTAGAAATCTAACGTACATTTCCAATTAACTTAGGAATCAAATTAATAGGTAAATGATTCAACTAAGTGGAGAGAAAATAGTGAGAGAGTGGAGAAAATAGTGGGAGAGTGGAGAAAATGGTGGGAGGGAGTTACTTAATCAAAACTAGGTTTTGATCTCCACAAACTAGGTTTTGATTAAGATGGGTTTCCCACAAAGAGCGGCTGAGGGCTCTGTTGCAATTTGTACATGTCATGAAGAGGCTAAGACAGAAGGGGGATACACTTGTCCAAGATGCAAAGTGCGTGTTTGTGAGCTTCCTACCGAATGCCGCATCTGTGGATTGACCCTTATTTCTTCACCTCATTTGGCAAGGTCATATCACCATCTCTTCCCTATAGTGCCGTTTGTGGAGATCTCTGCATCATCTCAAAATGATCCAAGCCACAGGTTTCCCAACACTTGTTTTGGTTGTGAAGAAAGTCTCCTTAGTCAGGGTAAGCATCTGCAGACCAGTTGTTGTTTGAGTATCTTCATAAGTTCATATATTTACAATTTTTGCTATATAAAATTTTATGGTGTTGCCTAATATGCTATGTCAAATATAGACTCATATCAAACTTCTTTAAGGGTGAATAGTTTGAAGATAACAAATGGGGCTATAATTTCTTAAGTTATTCCCTGGAATTTTTTTAAATATTATATTGAAATTAGTAAGTTGTTAGTGGGAGTAGTTTCATTTGTCTTTTTGTACATCTTGGTTTCTTATTAGATTTTGTGCTATCATGACCTGGCCTCACTTTTGGATGGCGGTCCATTGCGGAGAGCAAAAATCCCGCTGTACTGGCTGCTTTGCTCCGCCGTCATAGCGGATCATGGCGGAAAAACCTGTAATATCGGCCAATATTACATTGCGTCAAGCCCAAAAAACGTCATTGGTATCCGCCATAGCGCCAACATTGCTGATATTCGATAACACTGCCTGGCCACTGAAAGAGATTAGCAACATTCCAATTGAGAGATGGACTGTCTTTCAATTACAAAGGCATATACAGTCTTTTGATAAACTCTCTTATTCCCTGTTAATAATCACCTTGGGTAGCATATCATGAGTCATCTGTGAAAGAGTCTGTTGTTGCTCAATTTTTTTGAATGGCAATCCAAAAGTCCAACTGTTTGGTCTTCCATATGCTCATGATATAGTTGTCTTAATGCTAAATCCTTGCTATAAAAAAATGCTAGTATCTTACAAGGACATTGAATTCTATCAACCATGAAATCACGTGCATGTGATAGGGAATAATTTATGCGAGACATAAAAGCCTTAGCTTTCTTGTCAGTATGATGATGCATCTATGGCTTTCAAAGCCACGGTTGGTAAAGTTGCAAATTTGGAAGAAAAATTAACCACAGCTTCTTAAATTAACATGTGATCAGCGATACATTCTAATAACAATGTGTATGCATTAAGCATGTTAATCACACTTTGCTAATAATTGAGTACCGTGAGTATATGGCAGTCGAGTCTTTTTGTTAAGAAAACAATGTATATGCTTTATGTCGTTAGTGTTTTTTTCTACATAAGGCCATTGCTGAGAATCTTCAGCTGTATAGTTGATGATATACAATTCCTTATGTTTTTTGTTGTATTAGAAATAGTATTGCGTATAGAATATGTTCTTGCCAATTTTGCTAATAGTATTGTGTAACAGGAAACAGGCCTGAACTTTCTGTCTATTGTCCAAAATGCAAACAACAATTCTGCTTTGATTGTGACATCTACATTCATGAGAGCTTACATAACTGCCCAGGCTGTGAGAGTTTCAGGCATTCTAAGTCAATTACTACTGCCCAATGATTGCCAATCCTCTGCTCTTGACATTTAACTGCCATCTAAATGATATTATATACTGCATCCCTGTTATTGTGATGTTGCATCCATTTACCGGACTCTTGAACAGGTTCTGGTCCATGGAAAGTGACCGGCTAACACCCATTCACCTGATCAAAATGCAAGCTCTTAGACAGTAATTGCTTTGCAGGCTGGGA